GAAAAGGTGGAGGAGGGGACTGTTTGAAAAGGTGGAGGAGGGGGACTGTTTGAAAAGGTGGAGGAGGACTGTTTGAAAAGGTGGAGGAGGGGACTGTTTGAAAAGGTGGAGGAGGGGGACTGTTTGAAAAGGTGGAGGAGGGGACTGTTTGAAAAGGTGGAGGAGGGGGACTGTTTGAAAAGGTGGAGGAGGGGGAGAATATGTCCTCTTTAAATTGTGTATTTTTCAGAAACTAAGATGCACCATCATGCCTGCAGTGGCAGCAGACTTTTGGAGGGAATAAAAGATGATGAATAGGGGGTGTGGATGAACTTGCACCATGCACTTAAGACTATAGGTGATTAAAATAGGACCTACAACGTCTAACATGCCACAAAAAAAACACTTAAAACAGGTAGACTGTGGGCATGAATCCATTATTTTTTAATACTGTTGGAAAATGTCCTCCTTGTAACAATTTATTCAGGGAAAATGTAGATTTTTTTCGTCGCCCTTTTTGAAGCTGTGGATCCAACAGCACCCATCATCTGCCTCTCTCGCAGGAACAGACGTGGAGGCTTCACATGCTGGAATCAAACACTCGCTAAAATATGCTAATATGGGCTCTTAGATCTGGGACATACACACATGCACATCATGATTAAATCCCCCATGATGCCTCTGCTGCTTCATATTCTTACGAGTCCCTGAAAACACACATGCAGCCATGTTGTAAGTGTCTTTCTGTCGCTTGTTTCTCACCTCTGGCCGAGAGCTTTTTGGTGTTGATGATTTTGGCGGCGTACTCTTGGCCTGTGCAGAGTTTGACACAGCGGCGCACCACTGAAAAGGCCCCCCTGGGAAAAAACAGACAGGAGACAGGAGGAGGAGACGGGTCAGCTGCTATTTAAGCTTCGTCAGCATCAGAGGGGCATCGGAGTGACCTCACTGGACTCTCTGCTTTCAAACAAACCTGATCTGAATGCATGATGAACCCCGGGATGGAGGCGCAATAACACATTACACGTCATCCAACATTTCACACTGTTGTGTATAAGATGAAGACATCTGTCTTACAACCAATCCAGGGTGTACCACCGCTTCCTGGCTCCAGCCCTCCTGCGAGCCTGACAAGCGGTATAGATGATGGATGGATGGATCGGTCTCGCGGATGGAGAAAATGTTAGAACTTAAAACAGAGGTTATCGACAACTCTTCAACTTTTCTTGTAATTTAAGTCCCAAAAGAATCTGGCGCCATTTTGATTTTACCAACTGAGTTCAGCAGTTCATGATAGTGGAGGTTGAACCTTGAAGACAGATAATCATTCATATCTTTAAACTTTTCATATATTAAACCCGGCTGCACATAGACTTTAAATATTACTGGACAAAGCCTCAGTGACGTCACCTATCTGTTACTGCAGGGGGCGCCGGAGCCCCATCGATGGTGAGCGCCATTCTGGAAATGCTAACTAACCGCTTAGCTTCAGTTACTGCTGTTTGCTGAGGTAATGTTGCTAGCTTAAGTAACTGTTGGTAACTAAAGTTATCAGCTGAAGTAACTACTGTTGGTTAGCCATTTCATTTTGTTAGCTGTTTAATGTTGTTAGCTAAAGTTAATGTTGTTAGCTGTTTAATGTTGTTAACTAAAGTTAACGTTGTTAGCTAAAGTTAACGTTTTCCACCAAATGATCGTGAAACACAATTTGCTGGATGTTTTTATCGACATATTAAGTTGAGTTGAACTTTACTGTAACAGCAGTCAGGTAAGCTAGTTAAGCAGCTAGCGTCTGCATTTAGCTATTTCGGTTTTCTCTGAGTTTTTAGACCTTGAGAAAGTGTCCGATCAGACAGAGACGCGTCACAGTAGGAGCCCCTCTCTAAAAACTCTTGAGCGCATCTGAGGACAAAACAGCTAGCAGCACGTGTGCTTACTGGCGACTAAATAAAACAAGTGGAAAAAAAACGATTTGAGGAAACGAAGAGTTCTCGCTGTTGCTTTGCTTCTGTGGAGGGGAAGTCATAAAAAGCATTTGGTAAAGCCTCCAACTTTATTTGATTGTCTTGAGCTGAAAAAGTGTTTTAACTTTTGTGCATCTTGTTTCAGTCTTTGAAACCGATGAAATAAAGGTTAATCTTTAATCTGTATCTAAAACTTCCAGGCACAGGTAGGTTCAACATTTCTGTGTCATTACTTTTATTCAAATGTGTTTCTCTTGACCTGAACTCGGAAATTAGACAGAAAATTGCTGCATCTCATAATTTTCAGGTACTTGGCATTTCATTGACCTTCTTTAAAGAGTGAAAGAAATCATGATGAAGGTAACCATTTGTGACGCAGGTTATAAGAAACTGTGTCTTCAATCGGATGATATGCAGCACCAGTCAGGTACTTTATTTAACCTGCTTTAAAGACAGAAAAATGTTAATAGCGACAACCTCTTAAAGTATCTGCATGATTTGTCTTCTCATATTTTTTTTCTCCACGACTTTAATTATGTAACGCAAAGTGATCAATCAGAGGAAAGAGCAGCAGCGTTTGAAGGATAAGCGTTTTTTAAGTGTGCAGCGCTGGAGTTTTTAGGGCCACAGTTTCTCATCAAACCCAACAGAGACAAACAGAAATAACCACCTCTGTCATTTCTCGGAGCTAATTTTATCTCACCTCAGCATTGTTACGCAATGAAACACTCACACTCCCCTCTGAGCCCCGGCCTCTCTCATGAGCTCTCCAACATGCATACGTTATGAGGAGCTGTGGTGAGTAAGTATGACACTCGCTGACACTCGCTGCTGCGTGGTGAAACAGCAGCAGGAGACTCGACATGGCAGGTTATCTGCAGGGCAGGTGGGGAGTCAGGAGGGTCAAAACCTGCTTTTGTTAAACACAGAGAGCGGCTTACCTTTGAATCTGAGCACTGAAATCCTCCTTTGTTTGCCAAAAACTCCACAAAGCCATTCAGCCGAGAATAATAAATAATAGTCTTGACTAAAAGTCCACTTACTACACACGACATCTAGACCCTCGTTAGCCTTCAGAGAGGGTTCCAGTTAAAGAAAAAATCGGTTGGTGTCTCATAGCTCAGGATTTCTAAGTCAAGCCTAAATTTAAGCAAGCCTTAAATCTTTTAACCGTCGGTCTTTGAGTATTAAATATGTATTAAAACATGAATATTTTAAGTCGCTTGTGCTTTTTGTTGCTTAAAGTTTTAAACAGGAAAAACTTATTCAAAGGTTGTTGGAAAGGATTCAGACCTCAGGGTGACACAACATCATCGATCGATCAAACTACAAACTAACTGAATATTAAAAATGTGTGTGTAGTCATTAATTATCAATCTGTCATGTTTTTATGAAGCCATGGGGGAGCTTTTGTTGCGGTGGTAGATTCAATTTAATTCAATTTAATAAACTCTATTTGTCCCTGGGGGAGGGGGGGAAGGGGGATTCAAAGGCACAGAGCAAAATGAAGAAGACAAAAATAAGGAGCAGCAAACACAGAGCAAGGTTGACAAAAATATTGAATTAAACACAAAATAGATAAAGGAGATTTAAGATAAAAGTGGACAGTTATCGGACTACCAGGAGACGAATAGGGATTAAAAGTGTTTTATATAGAGGTGCCAGTGGCCTAGTGGTTAGAGCGTGCACTAAATGCAGGCCACAATGCAGCAGGGTTCAAATCCAACTGTGGCTCTTTTCCCGCTTGACATTACCCACTCTCTCTCTTTCCCTGATTACTGACTCCACTGTCCAATCCCTACAATAAAGGGACCAAAAAGTCAAAAATTCCATCTTCAAAAAGTCTTTTCAATTTGAAAAAATCAACCCGAAGTTGATTCAAAAGAACCGTAGAATTAAAAGAAATCTGTTTTTAAAGAAACTGTTTAACTATTCCTGCTCATTAATATTTAAATGCAACAGATACGTTGAAACTAAAAGGAGATCAACAGCTGTTTCAAAGGAGGGTTTCAGGGGTCATGAAGGGGTCAAATATGGAGTTTTCAAACATACAAAAAACACTCATTTTAAAGCTTCCATACTGATGAGAAAATACACAGACAATGCCAACCCGAGGTACAGCTACGTTAGCATTTAGCCACTTCTTTGCTAACATGTACGTTTGAGAAATCACAGATACGATATGAAAGGTATTTATTAATTTGAAATATTAACCCTTGCAATGGGAATTCTCACACCTTGTCTTGCTCATAATCATGACATCATAAATAACACTCTCATATCACAGCACATTGTGATGAATACTATGTGATTAATCTTTTGTTGTTGCCTTTGTCCTCTCAGGAAACAAAGTGTAACTAGGTCAAGATAATGCACCGTATTTATTCTGACATGTACTCTCTGGGCCTCCTCCTCCTTATCTCCATCTCATGCTGGAGAGAGCAGAGGTCCGTTTGCAAACTCCTGGATTCAACTATCAGAAAGACGACTGTTGGCTCGGTGTTGCTCTCAACACAAATTTCCAGAACACTCTCATTTAGAGCAAAAGTATTTGAGTCTGAGGTAAAACATGCTGGATCCTTCTGGAGCAAAGAATCTGACTGTAAAAAATGAAGGTGATGCAAAAGTGCAAAAAAACTTGCAGTTCCCTGAGTGTCCACTAGAGGCTGGCTGCAGAAGCACAGGAAGTCACATACACACCCATTCTAAAAAGCCTGTTTTTACAGCAGAGATGAACATGTTTACAGCCTGGTTCAAAAAACCAAATAGGTGTGATTAGCTCATGTCTGGATGGACACACACTGTACGGGGGGTGAATGTTTTGATGACTCATCAGTTTTGATTTGATGAAGGATAAGAGTTATTCACAATAAGGCGTGTAGCTGACCTGATTGACAGGTGGGCGCGGTGTAACGGTTTGTCAGGAGGTTTAAAACCCGCCTCAGCTCCAGCTCTCAGCCTGTCGTTAGGTTGACTGAAAGTTAGACTGAGACAGCATTTCCAGCATGGAGACCGCCATCAACCTTCAGTAACCAATGGGTGACGTCACTGAGGCTTTGTCCATGTTTATTGTTGGGTGACCCCGATCGCCTCTGTCAAAACCAGGAAGTGTTCGACATCCAGTGCACATAAAACTCCGCCCCCTGCAGAATATTCCCAAACATCTGCTTTACATAACAAACCCAACACACGTCAAAAAGTGACAACAGCAGCAAAACAGCAATAAGACTCTGACTGTTATCAGTGAAGGCAGCTGCTTGTCTATTGTCTTTAACTTATCACTTCCCACACACACACACACACACACACTGGAAATCCCAGCCAGCACAAAAGAGGTCGAATCAGTCTGTAAAACGAAAATATCAACACTTGAACTGAAACCATCCTCGGCACTGAACTTGCTTTTTTATTTTTTTCTCCTCTGGTGCTGTGGAATAAATGTTCCTGTGAGGCAGAGAGAGAGAGAGAGAGAGAGAGAGAGAGAGAGAGAGAGAGAGAGAGAGAGAGAGATCCTCTCTACCCACGCACAACCTGACAGAGACATGGAGTCCACTTTGCATCTACCCACTGTGGCACCCATGGGCTCTTCAGTCTCGATTTGTCTGCCTCTTGTGAGGGGCCACACATCCTAAATCTACTTCACCCCCCCCCCCCCCCCCCCAAAAGACACACCTCATTAGATTAGCAGTAGATCAAGGGCAGCAGCATTATTCGGACTTCTGTGCTAAACTGTGTGCCACTGTGATTAGAGCCAGCTGATGATGAGGGAGCTTAATTCCGACACATCAGATTGCCCCTCATATTAGAGCCTGTTTGTCCCTAATTAGCCCTTGGGCAAAAAGGGGGGGGGGGGGTGAGGGGTTGCCCAGAAGTGCTCCTGAGCTCATGCAGATTAATCTTCATGCAAAATCTAGCAGCTGTTACATACCTCCCGCTCTCAAACAAGATTTATTTGTGCAAAAAAAGACAGAAAAGCATTAAGGAAGCAGCTTAATTTAGATTTTAAAGGAGCTCATTTCATAAGCAGAACCAGCGTGCGTTTTTGTTTTGAACGGATGGAGCTGCATCCATCACCACAGCTGTGGAGACCCCTCCATCCCTCCCTCTTCATGCTCTGTAATAAAATGTCAAATAAATGTAACAGCAGCTTACTTGCCAAGCTCCTCGTACAGCTGGTATTCATCTGTAAAACGCGTACAAGTGGTAGTAGCCATGATGTTTCCTTTCTCGGACGGGTGCGGGAGTCCGGAATGGTTCGGCGCGTCGCTGCAGGACCTCTCAGGCTTTCAGTCTCCGCCCACCTCGATCAGAACCCTCCGGATGGTTTCAGCTGCAGCCCCGGCGCACACTAACACTTTACGCACACACACGCACGCAGGCACGCACGCACGGTCCCGGATCCAATGGTTTCTGGCAAGCGGAGAGGACGGACTCTTTAAATACCACACAAAATGGTAATGTGAGCTCACCGCATGACGTCCCCCCCCCCCTCCCGATGGGTAAGAAAAAAAAGAAATAAAGAAAAATCCGAGTTCTCTGATTGGAGAGTGCAGCGTTTGATTACACTTTATTATAAATCATATAATCACGAGCAGCTCTGCAGCCCATAATGAAATTACTGCACTTACTCAGTCAGAGTCTATTTCAAGGATTCAAAAAAACTTAATGCATCACTTCTCAGTGCACTTCAGTAATTGCATTGGATTGGTTTCTGGGGCTTTCTGCGGCTTCTATATGAGGCTTCTTGATTGAGCACAGAAACTATAAAACATCTAAATGACTTCAAGCAGGGCCAGATTAAGCTTTAAGGGGGGCCCAGGGGCAAAAACGAGCTGCAGGCCCCCACTTACCCACCCCTTGTGTTTTTGAAAGCCTGAAATTCACAAACCAGAATCCATCTGGGGCTCAGTTGGTGGAGTCGTCCTTGGGCGAGACACATAACCCTGAATTTCTCCTGCTGCTTCGTCTGCGGCGTATGAATAGGATAAATGACTTCTTGGGTGTGAATGTGTAGGTGTGATATGCGGTGTAAAAGCGCTTTGAGTAGTCAGAAGACAAGAAAAGAAATATAAAAGCTCCATTTACTATTAAATTAACTTCTGTCAGGTCAGTGTCGTTGACCAATGAGGGCACAGAGCGCTGTGCATGCTAACAAGTCACTTGATAAATAATGAGTAAGGCTGTGTTCAGTGTACTTGACTTCTGCCTTCAGCTCTTTTTGAGTGTTCTGTAACCTTAACAACAGGATCTAGTCTGCGGTGCAACCGCGCTGGAGCACAACGCATCAATTTAGCACAGAAAAGAACAAAGAACGTTTTTGGGCAAAGGTAGCTAGGGACGTAGGTTACTACTCGTCCTGATTGGTCAGCTGTCAGAAAGGGGCTTGACGTCACCCAGAGCTTTTCTGAAAAGTTGAAATAATTCAACTGAAAAAGGCGTTGGGCGCAGCGCTTTTTAAAAAGGCGTCATCCTTTTTCATTTTTCCATAAGCTTGTATGTAAAAAAGGCGCTGGCAGTTGAAAAAAGAAGTCAAGTGTGAATACGGCCTAATGGAGGATTTTACAGTTGTAAGTGTGAAACAGTCGAAGGTCAGACAGAGAGTTTGACACTCAGAGGGAGGAGCTGTAGAGTTTGATGGCTACAAGCAGGAATGACCTCCTGAGGACTTCAGTCACACAGTGGAGTGAGAGGGGGTGGTGACGTTTATTCCCTGTGATCACTGCACGACCATAGACAATTCTACAATTCTCTTAGCAGACTCTTTTCTCCAAAGCGACGTACATCAGAGAGTAAGAACAACACAAGCAAGGATCTAGAAAAAAGGGAACAATGTGAGTAAGAGGAAACGATCAGCTTTGAGTCTGATTGGACACACAGGTGCTGACAGGAAGTGACCAGAGGCAAAGCACAACATTGAGGGCAGTTCTTGAGAGCTCTAATCAGTATAGAAACCATCTTATAAGTCGTCGTTATCAAACAAAAACCATCGTCATTACCATCATCATCATCAATAATATGGAGACCATCATCATTAAGTTAGTAGGTATTCATGGGGGGGGGAGTGTAGACCTGGATCAGAGAGTTAAAGTAAAGTAGACTGTCTGCACGCCACCTCTACCATCTCCGTGCTCTAATCAACCTGCTGCTGCATGTTTCCTGTTCTCCAGGATGTTCTTCTCCTCTCTTCAGATCACATTAAGATTCTCTTCAACTACATGCAGCATTGATACAAACACACATATTCTCATTATAGCGTCGTGTAGAGGACTCCGTCTCTTAGTCCGCTACGTCCATGTTTTTTTTTTTACATCACATCTTACCTCAGGAGACCCCGCCTCCTGTATGACAGGGATAGTCTCGCACTTGGGGTGGCCAATAAGATTTCCAAGACGGGCCCATGCCACCCCATCTGGACACGCCCCTGACTGACCCCCTAAACAGACACAGGGCTCACTGGTGCTTTTGCCCTCCTCAGATCCACAACCAGTTCTTTGGTCTTTTGTCTGATGATTGTAGAGGAAAGAGAGCATCGCTTCAGGATCTGAGTACTCGTCCCTCTGGTGTTTTTTATTATCTGGAGCTGAAGACGCTTTGATTAAACGATGCTCAGACTCTCACTGTAACTCCATCTCATCTCTTCAGTTCATCATCGTCTCATTCTTTCCATCCGGAGAGCGGGGGGAGAGACGGATTGATTTCTTAAATAACGAGCGGGGAACAAGAAGCATTGTTGCAGACGAATGGATGTCATGTGAACGGAGCGGGAGGAGAAAAGTGGAGATGGCTTTTGTTTCTGCTCCTCCAAGTAAAAGACAAGAACGACGCGTTCCCCCCCTTTTTGTTCTGGCTGAGATGAATGTGCTCATTAGAAGCTAATTGATGCATTAATGAAGGGAGTGATCAGAGTCCATGACAGAACAATAAAAGATAAAGACGCAGAGCAAAGTGCTGCAGTCACAAGACGAACTCGCTCGTTAAGAAAGAAAGAGGCAGGAGAACTGAGAGATTTGAGTAAAACAATCAAATGCTCCAGCGGTTTTTAATTTATATTCTAAAGAGGGAGTATTATTTGTTTCCTTCGAAGTACTCCATGAATCATTTTTAACATTTCCTCGCTGAGTAATCGTCTGTGAGAGCTGCAAATAGAAGTCCTGATTTAAAGACTTCAGCTGGATGTTCTTAAAGAATCTTATTTTTGAAGTTTTCACGTCCAGAATAACAGATTCCTGATTGTGTTTGATTTTCTTATCTGATGAATTTACATAAATATTTCTGACCCCTCTCACCCCCTCCACCCTGATCACAGAGGACCCCTCTCACCCCTCCACCTGATCACAGAGGACCTCTCACCCTCCACCCTGATCACAGAGGACACCCTACACCTGATTACAGAGGACCCCCCCCCCCCCCCCCTATCTTTAACAGCAGAGCATACAAACGTATAAATCTGACTTTTGTTTGGATGATTTTTCCAGATTAAGTTTAAATTTGACCTTCGTCTCGGCTTCTGATGCTCAACAGTTTTGGAGAAGTTTATGAGAATATAAATAAATAACAGAATCACTGACTCAGCAGGGCGCTGTGGAGTTTTTAAATAAAGAGCAAAGCAGATACCAAAGCACACATTTTCTTTATCAGATTTCATTCAGTCAGAACATCAAATAATCGTTTGATATAATGACTTCATCGTCAGCATCTGAGATCCTCCACAACAAACCTCCAGCGGGTGAACGTTGACTTCGTCGCCCTCGTCCTGTACATAAAGTAGTAATCAGTTCATTTTGTTCAGTCTCAGAACTGCACGGCGCTCGGCGGGATGTCGAACATGGACGGGTCGAACTGCTGCCCTCTGAACGGCGAGCCCTCGGCGTCCCAGCCCTTCTTCAGCATGTCGTGCACCTTCTGTTTAAACAGAGAGAGAAGACGTGTAAATACATGTGCATTTATTATTCTGATGAGGACAACAGTGCCATCTAGAGGTGAGTCACAGAGTTATTTTGTTCTTCTGTTATCGCTTGAGAAGTTGTTATTTAAAGGTCCATTCAGTGAGATGTGTAGAGAGTGAGATGATAAAGGTATCTTACTCTCTGATCATTAAGGAAACATGCTATGTTGAAGTGCTGGCTTCTCTGACAACAATGCAGCAGCCAGTATGTCCTCCTTCTAACTTTAGATTCTGCTCCTGAATGCTCTGGATTTGTTTGGACCAGAGAAGGTAGGCGCTTTTAAGACACGCCCCCACACGGCCGTTTTGGACACCCCTCGATTTGTCAGATATGAGAGCAGTTATCAGGTCAACAGGTGTTGCAGCGATGGAAGCGGTCAAGAGAAGTGGTTCAGATAGAAGTGATTGTACCCGACCTAAAAAGCCTCTGCATGTTTCTAATAAGCTCCACGAGCAGAAACGTGCTCAAACTAGGATCAATATTGGAGATGCTTTTGAAAAATGGAGAAAGGTTAGAACACAGAAAGGTTTACAGACCCATGCAGAGCTGGATAAACACTGAAGCTTCAGAGTCCGTGTCCTTAATACATGTGAACACGTGTTGTGTGCGTGCGTCGGCTCACCATTTCGTGACTCTGCGGTTTGCCCTGCAGCTTCTGGTTGTAGTCGAAGGTGAGTCGGTCCAGGACGGCGTGCTCCTCCTCGTCCACCGTCGCCATGGAGCGCTCACGGTTAATTTGGTTTATGTCGATCTCCTTCTCTCCTTTCAGCACGGCGTTCCACCAAACCTCCGAAGTCTTACTGAGCGACAGCTGGAGGGGACGAGACGAGGAGGTAAGGTTTCTGTGTGTGTGTGTGTGTGTGTGTGTGTGTGTGTGTGTGTGTGTACTGTGTGTGTGTGTGAGTGTGTGTGTGTGTGTACTGTGTGTGTGTGTGTGTGTGTGTGTGTGCGTGTGTGTGTGTGTGTGTGTGTTTGAGAGAGTTTGTGTGAGTGTGTGTGTGTGTGTGTGTGTGTGTGTGTGTGTGTGTGTGTGTGTGTTTGAGTGTGTGTGTGTGTGTTTGAGTGTGTGTGTGTGTTTGAGTGTTTGAGTGTGTGTGTGTGTTTGAGTGTTTGTGTGTGTGTGTGTGTTTGAGTATGTGTGTGTGTGTGTGTTTGAGTGTGTGTGTGTGTGTGTTTGAGTGTGTGTGTGTGTTTGAGTGTTTGAGTGTGTGTGTTTGAGTGTGTGTGTTTGAGTGTGTGTGTTTGAGTGTGTGTGTTTGAGTGTGTGTGTGTGTTTGAGTGTTTGAGTGTGTGTGTGTTTGAGTGTGTTCGAGACAGTTTGTGTGAGTGTGTGTGAGTGTGTGTACTGTGTGTGTGTGTGTGTGTGTGTGTGTACTGTGTGTGTACTGTGTGTGTGTGTGTGTACTGTGTGTGTGTGTGTGTGTGTGTGTACGTGTGTGTGTACTGTGTGTGTGTGTACTGTGTGTGTGTGTGTGTGTGTGTATGTGTGTGTGTGTGTGTGTACTGTGTGTGTGTGTGTGTGTGTGTGTGTGTACTGTGTGTGTGTGTGTGTGTGTACTCACCACCACACAGTTTCCAGGCTCCAGACTCCACAGAGAGTTTTCAGTGTTGATCTTGTGTGTGAACTCTCCCTCCATCAGGGGTCTCTCCTCGGCCCCCTCCCTCACACACACTCTCATGCTGCCGGGCTGCAGACTCACGCTGACCTGAGGACGCCAAACACGCCACACACACGATAAGACACACGACAATGAACGGGTGAAACAGGAAGTCGAGGTCACTAACACACAGACTGTTTACCTGTCGTCCTTTAACCACGCTCTTTGGCACAAACACTCGGATCTCCACGTCGGTGTAGTCCTGAGACCAGCTGTAGTTTTCTCTCACCGCTCCGTTGTAGCTGTCGGGGTTGGACTGAAACGTATCCTGACCCCTGAAACACAACGACCACAGGTGAGTGACGTCCCCCGTCTGTCCCTGCAGGGGGCGCTGGAGTCCCATCGATGGCGGTCTCCATGCTGGAAATGCTGTCTCAGTCTAACTTTCAGTCAACCTAACGACAGGCTGAGAGCTGGAGCTGAGGCGGGTTTTAAACCTCCTGACAAACCGTTACACCGCGCCCACCTGTCAATCAGGTCAGCTACACGCCTTATTGTGAATAACTCTTATCCTTCATCAAATCAAAACTGATGAGTCATCAAAACATTCACCCCCCCGTACAGTGTGTGTCATCCAGACATGAGCTAATCACACCAATTTGGTTTTTTGAACCAGGCTGTAAACATGTTCATCTCTGCTGTAAAAACAGGCTTTTTAGAATGGGTGTGTATGTGACTTCCTGTGCTTCTGCAGCCAGCCTCTACTGGACACTCCAGGAACTGCAGGATGTTACACTTCAGTGTCAGCTTCATGTTTCAACAGTGCTTGCATGTAACAAACAAAATCATTTAAAATCTGATATGTTACATGTTTTGAGCTGAAGGTCTGCCCCAGTATGAAAGCTTTATAATGCTGCCACCTAGAGGCACAACACAGCAACTACATAGTGGGTCAAAAATGAAAGATTTTTTTTTTTTTAAGGTTTGGACCAAATGACCTTTAAACAATGAATCAGTATCTTTTAAAAGGTACAGGTGACAACTATTCTTATACTAACTTCACAGGATATTTAAGGACATTTAGAGCTAAATGAAACCGTTACATGTCTTTGAGTGAATTACAGATGAGTGTCACGTCTCTATCTCTCAATAGGAGGGAGCTGATTGATGCAGTTTTTGTATTTACATTTATATAATGAAATGTCCTCAACTTTAAAGACATTTTGAAGAGACTGAATAGTAAAGAAAGTCCGCTTTGTCTCTTCAAAAAAAAAAAAACCCAGAAGATATGCTGGATAAAAACACTGGAGGTTACTCACCCCTCTGCTGAGTTAGTGCTGGATGCAGCTGCCTGGTCTCCCTGCGTTGACTCTCCTGGACCTCCGCCGCCGCCGCCGCCGTCAGGCTGAGGGTCTACTTTGTCTTCTGAGGCCGGGACTGAAACACTCTGAGGCTCTGATGAAGCGCTCTCGGCCTGTGCCGCCTCCGTGCTCTGCCCCGCCGTCTCCTCTGTGGAGACCTCCAGCTCCTGGACGACCGGAGGAGGAACGCATCGTCTCTCCTGTCTCCTCCGCACCTCGCTCTGCTGCCTCTCTCTGTCCTGCTCCGCCACCTTCTCAAACAGCTTAAACGTCTGCAGGAGGAGAAGAGATTGGCACAGATTGAGGCATGAATGTCAGACCGAGCTGTTCCTTCAGTTTGTCACTTTATCTCATCACTGCTCACTTTAACTTGAAATGCTAAGATGGCGCGGCCGTGACCAGACGGCGTCCGGGTTGCTCCGCTGAGGCTGCGTGTTGTTTTCTTTATTTATGTTGTTTTTGTGAATCAGCTCTTTCAGCAAAGACAACTTATGACCGAAATATTCAAATATTTATTTTTAAATGTTACATTATATTCTATTTTACTGTATTTATGTGTATCAGTAATTTGAGTGTTTATTGCATGGCCTTGCGGAGCAGTGTTTACATTTCACTGCACATCTGTGTGAGCAGGTGACAAACACAAATCTTCAGTCTTGAATTGCACAACATGTCTGAACTTCCTGAGTCGTGTTTTGTTTGCCAGTAAATGTGTGCATGCTCTGCTTCTTGTCTTCTTACTGCTGCAACACTTGAATTTCCCCTCTGGGGGTCAATAAAGGATTATCTCGTGGGAGACTATCTCAGTTGGAGGGGCCCCCCTTTTAAGTTTTTGCCCCAACAGAGTCTGGAATCGCCTCTGATCCTGACAACAACCCAGAATCTAGAGTCTAATGGGGCCCGAGGCAAAAGTTAATTGATTGCAAAATCTGCACATTTTGAGCCACTGCTTTGATGTAAGTTTGTCAGACCTCAGGGGCCCCCTCTACTGGTCAGGGGCCCCCTCTACTGGTCAGGGGCCCCCTCTACTGGTCTGGGGTCCCCTTTACTGGTCTGGGGCCCCCTCTACTGGTCAAGGGCCTCCTTTACTGGTCTGGGGTCCCCTCTACTGGTCTGGGGCCCCCTCTACTGGTCTGGGGTCCCCTCTACTGGTCTGGGGTCCCCTCTACTGGTCAAGGGCCCCCTTTACTGATCAGGGGCCCCCTCTACTGGTCTGGGGTCCCCTCTACTGATCAGGGGCCCCCTCTACTGGTCTGGGGCCCCCTCTACTGGTCAGGGGCCCCCTCTACTGGTCTGGTGTCCCCTCTACTGGTCTGGGGTCCCCTTTACTGGTCTGGGGTCCCCTCTACTGGTCTGGGGCCCCCTCTACTGGTCTGGGGCCCCCTCTACTGGTCAGGGGCCCCCTCTACTGGTCTGGGGCCCCCTCTACTGGTCAGGGGCCCCCTCTACTGGTCTGGGGCCCCCTCTACTGGTCTGGGGTCCCCTTTACTGGTCTGGGGCCCCCTCTACTGGTCTGGGGCCCCCTCTACTGGTCTGGGGTCCCCTCTACTGGTCTGGGGTCCCCTCTACTGGTCTGGGGCCCCCTCTACTGGTCTGGGGCCCCCTCTACTGGTCTGGGGTCCCCTCTACTGATCAGGGGCCCCCTCTACTGGTCTGGGGTCCCCTTTACTGATCAGGGGCCCCCTCTACTGGTCAGGGGCCCCCTCTACTGTTGACCAGCAGCACACGGCCTCACCTTTAACACCATCTTCTCGGCCACCCCAGGAGGGAAACCCATCTGGTCGTTGGGTCCGGACAGCACGCGGTAAAAATCCGTCTTACGATACAAGAACCCGAAATAGATCTGTAAGAAGTCCCGGATGTTCCCGACGTGCTGCAGGATCCCCAGCAGAGCGTTGTCGTACATCTCTGTCATCTCCAACGGCGACGACATGGCGGCTTTCCTTTCAGTCTCTCCGTGTTCAGAAACCTTTAAAGTCTCCAAAACAATAATTTAAACACAACTACTAATGTTTTAGACAACAAAAAAACAAGTTCATTCGTTGTTGGGACTTGCTGGGAAACGGTTTCTTCACGTCTGAGTTTCTCCTTCCAGAACAATGAAACTGTTTCCGATTCCACCTTTCAAAATAAGAGCAAACTCTGCACGAATACGCAGTTTGACTAAACTAACGCCGCCAATTACCAAAAAACATTCATTTTAATAAACAGTGTTGTGTTATATTTGAATTTAAAGTGTTTATGATTATTTTACATTCTTATTTTTGAGAGCTTTACGTTCAGATTGTTTTATTTTGTTCTTCATCCGGTTGGTCCAGCTCGATGGTCGTCCTATACAAACAGACACCCGAGTGTCAATAAACAGTTCCGGTGTAACGGCACGGAAACAACATTTTCTCCCTTTTATGACGTGACATAAAATAATATATGAGATAAAATAATGTTGATATTTTAATTGTGTATCTAACATGATACAGGAAGTTACAAAATATATGAGATAAAATAGTTGTTTACTCGCAAGATTTAACCTGGTGTTATGGTACAACGAGTGACCGTGTTAACTGGTGACTCGGCCGTCTGTAGTTGTCGTAAAGTCTCCTCGCGAAGGCTTCTTTTTTTAGTTTTTGCCTCACTATTTTAAAATCAAAATATATTCATCAAATATGTCTTTCATCATATATTCATAGTGAGAACACTACATTAAATATTGAACAGCTGTTTTAACCACGACAATCACAAATGTCACCAGTTAACACGGTCACTCGTTTTAGCGTTACACCTGCAAAAACATGGCGGCGTCCTTGAGCAGCACAGGGACCGTGAGGCTACTAGTAAGTAAAATAACATTTTAGCTTGTATAATAATTCTATCAGGGTTTCTTGATATCATTAAATACTCGTTAATAAAGCTGTAAAGTCTGACTGTGAAGTTTATTATGAAGTTTACATATTTCCCGTGTTTGATACGTTTCTCCTCTCAGCCTCCTGACTGATTATTATGTCTCAACCTTCATACAGTTGTTTAGCAGTTAGTGGTGAATTGCCGTGAAATGAAACTGATTTATGTGTTTGTTGTTGTACATGGTGCTTACAGGTCAGGCCCATTAGACAGAATTATGTTTCTAATAGGCTGCAATGTGTCACTACCGATTGATCACTCTGAAAACTATCAACAGGGGTTCCACAAGGTTCTGTGTTGGGACCCATGCTTTTTTGTATTTTTTTAGCTGAGACTGCACATTGAGCCACGCAAACCCAGAACAAGCATTTGACAAATAAGACGTGTTTTTCCCCATTCTGTCTCTGTCCCCCGTTTCTGACTCTGTCCACTAAAAAGAAAAAAGAATCTGTTGCTCTGAAGTTGCTGAACACAGAGTCTCACCGTCCCGACGGACAAGGCTTTACCTGCTGGAATCACCTAATTGAAATGTATTCTGTTTAACAATCCACCTCAGAACGCCTTCCTGAGGATTTAGGCTCACAGTTTGCTCTGTTGAGTCACCGCTCAAAGGCTGGCTCAGACCCCCTGCTGGGTCCACCTGCTGGGTGGGTCCCCCTGCACAGCCCAACCCTCACCAATAGCTGCTTAAGATGCCTAGAATTGGATAAAATAATTCCTTAAAATTTAAGCTCATGTCTGTTCAAGTTTTACTGAAGCCTCAAACCCACTTGAAGAATTCAGATGTGTTTAACTCTACTGCTGTTTCTACTGTTTTCTCTGCAGAGTTCGTTGGTCAGGTCCGGATCCTTGTGCAGCTCCTCTGGAAGCAGAGCACTCCATGTCACTGCGGCATGCTGCAAGGTAAACGCTGTTAACAACAGGCCGTCTCAGACTGCATCAGTGATGTAGTAAGACCCTCTTAAGACTGAGAGACTTAGATTATTTTCATTTTCGTCGTTTTCTTTATTTTTTTTTCTCGTTTTCCAGAATCGAGCAGCTCGTGTCCGAGTCGGGAAAGGAGACAAACCTTTGACCTATGAGCAAGCACTTCCCCCTCATCACATCGGCCACCGCAAAGGATGGCTGTCACAACACACGAGTAAGAAAACCACTTTTATTTAAAGAGCAACTCAACGGTGTAAATGTGCACTTTTAACACATTTAACCCACAATCTCTGAGAGTTGTTTGTACAATAGGACTGCTCATCTTTATCGTCTCACTTAACTGTTCCATCAGGTAACCTCAAGGGAGAAGAGGGGGCAGCTGAACGCACCATCGAGGACGTCTTCTTGAGGCGCTTCATGTTCGGGACCTTCCACGGCTGCCTCGCCAACGAGATCGTGATCAAGAGACGCGGCAACGTGCTCATAGTGTGCGCTTTGATGTTACAGAAACTACCGCCGAACAAGTTTTATTTCTTAATCGGATATTCAGAGTCTCTGCTGTCACACTTTTACAAATGTCCGGTCAAGTTAGAGATTCAGACCCTGCAGGACAAAGCTGTGTACAAGTACCGCTGATGGAGACGTGGAGAAACGAAACGTGTTTAATCAAATATGTCTGTATAGAAATGTGACTATGATGCGGTCTTATCTCTGCTGACTGTGATGTTATTAAATCTGCTTTGAGTTTAGTGGTTGGAAGAGAATAAAATCTTATTAACATTTTGAAATGTCCTTTTTTATTTGATCACTTCTATCTGAACCACTTCTCTTGACCGCTTCCATCGCTGCGACACCTGTTGACCTGATAACTGCTCTCATATCTGACAAACCGAGGGGCGTCCAAAACAGCCGTGTGGGGGCGTGTCTTAAAAGCGCCTACCTTCTCTGGTCCAAACAAATCCAGAGCATTCAGGAGCAGAATCTAAAGTTAGAAGGAGGACATACTGGCTGCTGCATTGTTGTCAGAGAAGCCAGCACTTCAACATAGCATGTTTCCTTAATGATCAGAGAGTAAGATACCTTTATCATCTCACTCTCTACACAGCTCACTCACTGGACCTTTAAGAATGATATAGGGCGTAGAAACACAAATATTAAATACCAGACAGTGAGTGCAATGCTTTATTAAGACAGTATTAATGTAAACCAATTTCATTACATGTTAGTTTTAGAAAATAACAATTTATAAAAGTGTCTTTGTACAAGTGTTGCCTTCGGGTTAACGATGAATCTGTTCAGAGTTCAGACGACTTGATGTAAACTGAAGCACCTCATTATTTTTAAACTCAAACACAAAAAAGAGTCGTTTCTGTTTCAAGAATCAAATTATTATTATTTTTTTTTTTTACACAATGTTCACCTGTTTAACCATAAAAACATCGACATCCATTCATGGAATCACAGAAAGACGATTACTCATTTTAACACTGACGGACTTTGTGGTGCAGCTGCATCAAGTTCTTGTTTCCCTGTCGCTCAAAAACATTCATAAGATGCACTGAACTCCCTTTTTTTTAACTTCCTTCTTAAGAGACAGCAGGACGAGGAAGGTGTGTGCGTAACAGCTCATCGTCGTTCTTCAAATAAGACTTCAATGTGAATAATATTCTTCTTCTTCTCCGGGTTTAGGCCTTGCTCTTTGCCTTCTTCTGCAGCCGGGTCCGTGTGGGCTCGGTGAGGACTAACGGCTCCTGGACGACCATGGCGTTGTATTTCCTCCCCAGCAGCTCGACCTGGACCTTCTCACCCACGGAGCAGAGGTCCAGAGGCAGGTAGGCGAACGCCAGGCTCTGCTGGGTGCTGTAACTGTACGCTCCGGACGTCGTGTTTCCAACAACCTGAAGGGGGTTTAGACGGGAGAGAGAGAATCATTGGTCACAGGAACTTTTTTTTTTTTTTTTTTTATTTTTGGGCTTTTTGTGCCTTTAAAGTCTTTATTTGTGATTTTTCACACTTAAATGTAGAAATCCAGTATATCCTCTGAAAATAACTCTGTGAGTCATGACTGTCTACAATGGGTGTAACACCCGAGTCCCACTGTCTGTGATGTTTTCAGAGTTTTCAGAGTCCTATCTTCACTTTGTTTACATCGCCCGGACGGCCGGCTGACTCCTCCCCTCGCGTATAAAAGTTGTTTAATTGAGGGACTAGAGAAAAGAAGAATAACATACTGTACTCACTGCTTAACTGTGTTTCTAGATCACGCTCATTTCAGGTAAATTTACATGCAGTGTGAAGATACCAGCATAATAAAGATCGCTAGCATTAGCATGCTAACACAACAATGCAGCGCGAGTTGTTTTGGTTTCATGCTGGAGCTCAAGGGCGACATCTGCTGGATCAAAACATCACATATAAAGACTTTAATGGAGAGACAGCACAGTGGATAGAGTCAGAAATCAGGGAGAGAGAGAGAGTAGGGAATGACCTGCAGGAAAGGAGCCACAGGTTGGATTTGAACCTGGGCCGCCCATCTGGAGGACTACAGCCTCCATACATGGGGCACACACACTAACCACTGCGCCACCAGCACCAGGAACTTACCGTCTGTTCCTAAGGTCGGAACTGAACTGGCGGAAACAGCGTTTAAGGGCGCACTTACATTAGACCCAGTTCAAGCACGACTGTAATAATTTCAGCTTCAGATATTTTTGGCTTGTTGTTTTTGGTGTTTGGTCGTCTTATTTTTTCTCTATTTTGATCTACTGGGCCATTTTTTCTGAGCTCTTTGACACAAAAGAAGAAATGACAAAAAATGAGTTTGAGGATGAGTCAGAGCACACTAATCAAACAAACTGGACTTTGGGGGTCAAACTACTCGGGCACAGTGTGCTAAGTGTGATAAACTAGTTCATATGGTCCGTTCAGCAGTTTGAGCAGCTCGTCTCGGCTGTAAATTAAAGCACCTTTTAAATATGTCAGCACTCGCTGCGGGGGTACTTTGGCTTCAATTCACTACGACGAAAAGTGCTCGTCCATTTGAATATATGCAGTCTCTGGTGAGAATAGAGACAACATAAGCACATAAAGGCATTTCTTACCTTGCCGTTATGCCAGACTGTCTCGTTACCCTCCGGGTCGATGTCGTCCGTATCGAGGGTGATGTAGGAGAGCTTCCTCCTCACGCCTTTCGCTTTGATCTCCTGGAGAGCTGCTTTGCCGATAAAGTCTGCCGGCTGAACAAACACAGACGTTATCAGGATGTATTCTTATATCAGAGAGACAGACATCTGTGACTGAGTCAGGTTGATCTGATCATTGTCACAGTCTTTGAGTCTTTTTGATTGATCGGAAGATGTGAAGACAAAAATATGAGATACAAGACATTACCGATAATGACTGTAGAATGAACAAAAACAAACAGAAACAAGAAGGACAGTCTGGTGGTTACCTATGGAGTTAGATCAGTCTCAATATTCACAAATGCACACAGAAGGATTCACAAATGTATTTCAATGCACACACAAATATTTACAGTTTTGTATAAATGTAATAGAAATCCACAAATATGTAAAGTGTTCAGTCTGCATTTACAAACTGTTTGTCATGTGTGTACCTCACTGTGTTTGTGTGTGGGATTTTTGAGACTCCCGTGCCGTGGTTAGATTCACAAATGCATTTTTTTCAGCAGGGAAATGTCTGTTGCCAATCAGATGTCTCCTTCCTATTCAGCCAATCATAACTCCAATATGGAGTTAGATCAGTCTCAATATTCATACCTTGTTCAGTTTGATGAAATAATCCAATCCGGCCTCCAGAGGGTTGGTGTCACAGTTCATCTGTAAAGATTTAAAGTTTGTGTTATTGACACTAAAGTGAGAAAAGGGAAGAAAACAGTTAGCCTGGCTCTTGTAGCTGCTTTCACACTTGCAGAAAACTCCTGATATTTCCAGGAGGAGCGTCATGCGTGAACACAAACAGCCATTGAATCTGATTTAATTTTTAATCGTCTCTAAACCAGATTTTAGTTTATGCTGATGTTGCTCAACATCTGTTGGATGTTTCTGCCGATACCAAAGACATGCAGCAAATATCCAGTTTTTTTTTTTTTTTTTTAGAGTTTTTTGCAGGTGTGAAAGAACTCTCTGTGTCATGTTATTATTCTTAAAAATAAACAAACTTTAAATTCAGTGAGTGTGTGTATCGTCGTGTGTCACCTCGGCTCCCCAGCCTCTGAAGCCCTTTTCCAGCCGGAGAGAGTTCATGGCGTAGGTCCCGAAGTTGTCGATCCCTTCGTCTTTTCCCGCCTCCATCATGGCCTGGTACACGGCGGCCATGTTTTTCTGCTCTATGTACAACTCCCAGCCGAGCTCACCTGAACACAGATACACAGAGACCTGCCTTTAAACACGGCAAACAAAGGGTTAAACTCTACAAACAGGTGCAGTACCTGTGTAGGAGATCCTGATGGCTTGGACAGGGACCCCCGCCAGCTGGATGGACTTGCAGTGGAGAAATTTGAACCCTGCGTCGCTCATGTCCTCGTCCGTCAGTTTCTGGAGAACCCTGCGGGAGTTCGGTCCTGCGATGCCGAGCACGCCTAAACCGTCCGTGACGTTGCTGATGTCGACGTCGTAGCCGCCGTTTGCTGCTTCGTCCTCAATCCACCTGAGTTCAAACCAAAGAAGAAAACGTTCAGCACGCGGAAATAAGATCGTTAAACGCATCATATTATCACGTCTGAGTGACTCTAAATTGTCCGTAGGTGTGAATGTGAGTGTGGCTGTTTGTCTGTCTCTATATGTCAGCCCTGTGATTGGCTGGTGACAAGGCCAGGGTGTGACCCCGCCTCTTGCCCAATGACAGCTGGGATCGGCTCCAGCTCTCTCTCTCCCTCTCTCTCTCTTCCTGACTCAACTGACCTGATCTCCATGAAGACGCATTAAAAGCAACAGTTGGACATGAAATGCATTTCAGCAAATAACTCTGAATGTTGACTTAGTTTAGATTATTCCCCGACAACAGACGCAGTACTTGATCCTTTCTGAATATCCACAGTTCAGTAGTCAGTACTTTTCAGTAGGAGTTTCAGTAGACTGAACTCTCGTGGTCATTTTTTGGGTCCACCTCAGTATACTGAACATTTCAGTATGGATACTAACTTCCTGGTTTCATGCAGTATTGAAGTATAATTGAATCAATTTTTAATCTAGAGTTAAAGTCCCGACTGAAATCACTACTTTAAATTAACAACAGAAAATAAAACAAATATCTGCATTATTAAAAACCTTTCTCCTCTATTTAAATAATGATTTCACTATTTAAATGTGTCTTTATTGGTTTATTTTATATTCTGTATATTACTGTCTTTCATTTGATCTTTATGTACTGTATGTTATTTAGTTATTTAATCTTTTACTTGATTTACATTGTGATATTGTTTTTTGTTTACCTGACTGTATATGAGCATTACTCTTCTTGAATAAAGATAAACAAAAACAAAAAAAAATTAAATTGTCTGAGTGAATCAAACGAGGTAGGAACAAATATCTGCCTACTAAACAGTATGCAGCACAGATAGTAGGTACTGACTACTGACAGATTAAAGAGGTACTTGGCAATTCGGATACAGCCCTTGTGTCTCAGGCTGATTTACCCTTCTGTAACTCTCCACTAGAGGTCGCCACATAGCTCGAGATTGTTCTGTTCCTGGGGAGAGTTTGTTTAAGAGAAGTGACTGAATGTGCTGCGTCCTGATTGGAGCACATGGAGGGGCGTCGAGTTAACA